CTCAGCCTTCCCAGGACAAGGCGAGGGCTCCTGCCCCTCACTACACACTCATCCACGGAGCCCTTCGAGGGGCCCAGACCCAGCAGGGCTCACAGATAGCAGGGGCCGCCCGGCCCCGCCCCGCCGTCTGCTAAACCCAGGGCAGCGCCAACGCGTCCGCACGCCTCCACACGTTCCGCTGACCTGCGCAACCACCGGAGCCCTGGGGCTCGGTCTGGGGCCGAATTTGGGGTTTTGTATTGTAGCATAAGCATATGAAAAACCCCAGAGCATCACAACTTGAGAAAACTGACCCAGCGGTTGCTTAGCAAGGGAGCGAGAAGCCAACCCTGAGGCTCGCGGTGAGGCAATCTGGCTTTTTCCCAGAAAGCCCAGCGGCACAGCAGCCAAGCGGAAGGCTGCCGGCCAACCCCTCTGCGTTGAGGAATTAACAGCTGATGCCCCCGGGGCTAAACCCCAAAGACTCTGGGTGCCTTAGTGACATCAACCAAGAAGTGGCCACCGTTGAGCAAACTCTGGCCAACCCACGTCCTCAGGACACTCCCGCAGAGACACTGCACCTCACAGGTGAAGTGCAGTGACAGTCGCTGGCTGCCCTCGGGCACTTACGTGGAAAAGACAATTCAGAGCCAAACAAGTATTTTTTTCAAGCTGTGAAAAGCCTCAGAATTTCAAAAACCGCACAGGAGGGTCTTGGACAAGCAACTCTAGCCCTAAAATCCAAACACTTGGGTGCTTCTTTCATCCCTTACCTTCGATTTCGAGAACCACAACCTCTCCAAACGGAGCTGCTTGATTTTTAAAAACACTAAGGTCTAGAATAGTTTCTTCCCTGACATCAAAGCCAGTCTCCCATCACACGAGCCCAGGATCAGCTGCTGGAGGTCCGCCCCATGAAGCCCAGGGCCAGGGCCAAGGGCGCAGGGCAGCAATACGGGGCCTAGAGCCCACACGTCTTAGAATCCCACTGGGGCCGACCCTCAGCGGTACAGAGAACTCGGTTGGGTGGGGACAAGGGCTTCCAGCACCCCAATCTGGCAGGCCTCCACCTGTAGGAGGGCCCAGGGAGCCCGCAAGTGCCCAACCCCCATGGACACCAGCCCGGGGTGCACACGGGGGTGCACATGGCCCGGAGCCGACAGGCCCAAGCAGCTGGCTGGTGAGGGCTTACCAGTGGTGGTGAGTGGTGAGCACCGTGGTCAGCTTCACACCGTGCTTTTTCACCGTTTCTACAACCTGCAACCAAACGTGAGGCAAGATGGGGGCCATGGTCACACTCCTGGCACTGGCCGGCCGAGCTGCAGGGATGCCCAGAACCCAGGACTGGCCAGGAGGGGCCGTGCCCTGTCGTGACCCTGCCGACTTGCCCCCACTCCAAGTCTCTCTCAACCCAATTGGCAACTCAGGACCAGCCACGACCTCTCCAAGCCCCTCCAGCCGAGGTCATTGCCCCTCATGGCTTCCCAGCGTCCCGGCACCTTACAGAGAGAAGCCCATTGCTCTCCCCGCCCAAGCCGTTGGCAGCCTCCACCCCTCACTGGCCTTCTGCCCGATGGCAGAGTGGCAGGCCACCAGTTGTTTTTCAAAAACCAAATGAGTCAATTTCTGTGCAGCTTTGGCCAAGCTACAAGGACACTGCAGCTATTAGCCCTGGCAGGGGACCAGGTGGTGCTGGGGCCCTTCCTCCCACCTTCTGGGGCTGCACCGGGTCCACGACAGCGGCCTCCTTGGTCTCGTCATCGATGATCAGGTACATGTAGTTGTCGGTCAGTGCGGGCAGTAACTCAACCTTCATGGTGCCCTGTTCCACAGTCAAGCTCTTCCTTAAGTCCGTGTGATGGAGAAGGACCCCCAGCAGGGCTGGGCCTGAAGGCAAAGCGCAGCTTCAGTCAGTGTCCAAGGGAGGCCGCCCCAGGCTGAGACTTAAAGACAAACCCTCGACCCGGGAGGCCCTGTGTCCTGGGGACACAACATCCCGGGAAAGTGACTCAGCGAGCAGCAAAGTGTGAAGCTCGCTGTGTCCGATTTTCTGAGTTCCTTCAGTAAAGAAGAAGATATCCTCATTTTACCACATTCATAAGAAAAACAGAAAATTCTTCACATGCATATTCACACAAATCACTTCTTTCACACTATGATCCTGATTTTCTTTTTCGAGAGCTCTCAGAGGACAGAAAAGTGCTGGTTTGTGCCTGTGATTCAAACCAGTGTCAGAAGTGACCAGTGCCAGTCCTGCGGTGTTCACACCCGAATCAGAAAGACCACAAAGAGAGGAACCCAGAGGGCGAGGGCCTCTGACCCTTCCTAGGCCTCCAACCAGAGAGGAAAATAATATTCACTTTCATAGGCAGGAACTCAAAATTTGGATCATGCACAAAACACACCAGGGCCTGAGACATGGGACAGGTGGCCACTTGTTCCAGATTCAAGTGTGCAAGACAAAGAATCACCATCCAGTTCAACCAAAGGACCCTGCCAAGGTATGTCAAGAGTGAGCAAAAGCCAAAGCATCCTCCACCAAGGAGTCAGGTGCCAAACTATTTTCAACAATGAAACTCCTATTCAATCTAAAAACTCACAGAGGCCCCAACAATACTTTAAGTCTTAATGTGAAAGAGATGAACACCATAAAAGGTGACAGAAGACAGCCATGAAATACTGCGGGAGGTGCTGGAATGGGGGCCTCTTCCAAAAGGGATCCAGAAAGCAGGCAGGACCCACTGACTGACAGACCACATCTCCAGGGGCCACCTAAAGCTGAATTCAACCTTATCTGCCACGGCCAGGGAAACTGTCTCAACTGCAGCTTTAACGAGTACACAGAGATATCCAATTCCCCTTTCCCTGGACAACCAGCTGGGCATTTTCCAGGCCCTTTTCCTCATGCACAGCAAAACAACATCTCTGTATGATCAGGTTTCTGTGATATTCCACCTTCCCTAGGCCCCAGGACTACCCGAGCCCAGGAAGGACTACAGAGCGGAGTATGCGTACTGGGGGCTGGGGAGGGGGGGAAGGCAGGACTGAAACAGGACTCTGCTTTGAGTCTGGGAGAGGAACACTGCCCAGGTGAAGGAAACACGATTACATCCTGTGCTCAGGCTCCTCTAGGTACTATAAGGGTTCTCCCAGAAAACCTGGGGAACTTAGTTATTTCTCCAGGCACCACCAGAAGCCTTATTCCTATTCCAAAAATTATACGCCTGAGAAATGCTTCCAGCTCACTGGTTTGCAACTGTGACCTTTTGTATAAGCAGAGGGCACAGAAGTGCAGCCTGTAGTCCAGGCCAAGTCCTGAGACATGTTTTGTTCCACTTCTCTTGAGCTGGGCCCGTCCTTCTGCACCGCATCCAATGGCTGGCACTGGGCTCCCTTCTGAACGAGGTGTTCACAATCTTGCCAATTCCCTACAGTCTCACTGACACTCTCTGCCTGACTCCGGAAGCAAGAAGTCTTAGCCCTGACACTCGGAGGAGTGTCCCCAAATGGGGAAAAGGACAGGCTCTTTCCTCAGTAATGGCAACACCTTACCCGCTCCAGAACCTTGAGTGCTCTCAGTGAGATCTAAAATGGCCGAGGACGGCTTTGCCTCCTATGTGGTCATTTCTCAAACCGCTAGCCATCTCCCAAAGACTCGGGTTAATCTACTGCCCCTATTGCCACATCAGCCAGATATCAGGAAATAAAGAAAGATTTCAAAATCAAGGTCAAAATATTCCAACAAAGCAAGAGGTAACTCCCAGTGGGAAAGGAAATCTGACAGCTGGAAGCGCAGGCCCTGGGAAGCCTGCGTGCCCAACGCCTCTCCTTTTAGAGGGAGGGCCAGGGCCCCGCAGCCCCCAGGACCCAGTCTTGTTGGAACCCGAGTACTGGCCCGGCTTCCTGCCCTTTGTCTGCACTTTAGAATCGTGTATCCCGGGTTTTTCTTGTCAGCTGAAGCTCGCAGGAAGAGATGGGAAGGCAGTCCCCGGGGCGCTAGGGCGGGCTGTGCCGCCCCGGGGCGCACACACGAGGGGTCCGCCCGGGCGGGGAGGGGACCCCCGGAAGGGCCGCGGGCGGGGGCGCGGGGCTCCTGGGGTCCACGTCTCCTTACCCGGCACAAATCCGCCAGCAACCCCCAGCTGACCAGTGACCCCACTCTGTCTTCAGCCCCCGCAAAGTCTGACTCAAGTGCCGCGGGGCCTTTTCTCGACCCCAACCGGCGCGCCTGGACGCCGGCGAGGGTTACAAGCCTGTGTCGACAGAAAACAGCGTCAGCCCGCGACGGCCCGGCCACTCCCGGCCGCCCCCAGCGCCCGGAGCCGGCCACCGGCCCGGCACCGCCGGACCCCTCGCGGGGGCGCGGCCCAACCGCCGCCACCGGGTCACGACGCCGGCTGGTCCCCCTCCGCGGGCCAGGCCCCGCGCCCCCGGGCCCTGTCAGGCGCGCCCCTCGGCGCCCCGGCCGGCGCCGGCCCACCTACCCAGGCCACGGCGGGCGCAGGCGACTCCCAGCGCGGCGAGGCTCCGGCGGCCAAGCCCGCAGCCCAGCACCATGACCCGGGTCGGCGGGGCGGCGGCTGAGGCGGCAGCGGGGCGGCAGCGCGAGGGGCGGGGCGGGGGCCCGCACACGCCTGCGGCGCGCCGCGGCCAATCGGCGCCCGCCGCCCCGCCCCCCAGCCAATCAGCGCAGGTCTCGCGCCCCCGCCCCAGACCCCGGCCAATCAGCGCCCGCGTCCAAACCCGTGCCGGCTCCCGGCGGGCTGCTGCGTCCCAAAGTGAGGGCCCGGAGCCGCGAGTTACCGGCGGCGGCGGCGGCCCGAGAGCAGCGTCAGGGCCTCAGCCTCTCTCCAGGCACCAGGCCAGTGTCCCAGGGCAGCTACTGGACAGCGGCTCCCAGGTGTTGAGGCGCCGCGACTGCCGAGCGCCTGGTAGAGCGCAGAGCGGAACGGGCCGTCGCGGACGGGACAGCGCTGCGAGGTAGTTGGTTCTCTCCGGGGCGCCGTAGGCATCAGGTGACCGGGTCCCGGCGGAGTCACGTGACCTCCAGGGGCGCCCGGCCGGGACATGGCCGCCCCCAGGCCGCTGTCCCGCTTCTGGGAGTGGGGGAAGAACATCGTGTGCGTGGGTAGGAACTACGCGGACCACGTCATGGAGATGCAGAGCGCGGTGCTGAGCGAGCCGGTGCTCTTCCTGAAGCCATCCACAGCCTACGTCCCCGAGGGCTCGGCCATCCTCATGCCGGCCTACAGCCGCAACCTGCACCACGAGCTCGAGCTGGGCGTAGTGATGGGCAGGCGCGGCCGCGCCGTCCCGGAGGCCGCGGCCATGGACTACGTGGCCGGCTATGCCCTGTGTCTGGACATGACCGCCAGAGACGTGCAGGACGACTGCAAGAAGAAAGGGTTGCCCTGGACGCTGGCCAAGAGCTTCACGGCCTCCTGCCCGGTCAGCGCGTTCGTGCCCAAAGAGAAAATCCCGGACCCTCACAACCTGAAGCTCTGGCTCAAGGTCAACGGCGAACTCAGGCAGGAGGGTGAGACATCCTCCATGATCTTTTCCATCCCCTACATTATCAGCTACATTTCTAAGATAATGACCTTGGAAGAAGGAGATATTATCTTGACCGGGACGCCGAAGGGAGTCGGACCCGTTAAAGAAAACGATGAGATCCAGGCTGGCATACACGGGGTCGTCAGCATGAGATTTAAGGTGGAAAAGCCAGAGTATTGACTTACTAAGTTTCAGGAGAGAAGGGAGCTGGACAGAAGCAAGCAAAGGTTGTTAAATGTGAGTCCTTTTAATAGACTAATTGTTTTGTTTTGCGGTAAGAAACTAATTCTTAAATATTATTTAATTGGATTGTTATGACTTAAGGAAGATAGACCCTTCAAGGAAAATGTGATCTAGAAAAGCTGGGCCAGAAATGGAAAGAAGATTGAGTGTCTTTTAGGAAACAACCAAATTAAGTTTTTGTGATGCTTCCAAAGCGGAGAATTTATCAAACCAAATGTTCAGAAGACTTCCTTTCCTTTCCTAAAACTGGACTGGATAAGACTTTTCATTGGGGGGGCGCCTAGGTGGCTCAGTCCATTAAGCATCTGCCTTTGCCTCAGGTCATGATCTGGGGGTCCTGGAATCAAGCCCCGGGTCAAGCTCCATGCTCAGCAGGGAGTGTACTTCTCCCTCTGGCTCTCCTCCTGCTCGTCCCTTCTCTCTCTCAAATAAATAAAAGTTTTAAGAAAGTTTAAAAAAAGACTTCTCATTGGGCATTCTGAGATCAGTAATTCAAAACTTAAAATATGCAAAGGAATTTGAAAATCATGTTTCCTAAATTTCCTTGATCATGATAATTATCTGGAGGTATTTGTAAAAATAAAAATTTCGACATTACTGGCCTGTACCAGGCCCACTGTATTAATTAGCAGAATTAATCTCCAGCACTCCCAAGTGCTTCTTATCATGGAAATGTGGATAAACGTTTCTCCACATAGTTAATTTAAAATTGTATTTAATAAATAGTGAACGATTAATGGCAACTTCACTCATTTGTACCATGGCCTGTAGATTCTGAGTTTGGGAGATAATTTTGAAACAATTGTTTTCCAAATAAAAATGCTATCTTTTGGGGCGCCTCGGTGGCTCAGTCGTTAAGCGTCTGCCTTCGGCTCAGGTCATGAGCCCTGGGATCGAGCCCCGCATCGGGCTCTCTGCTCCACGGGAAGCCTGCTTCTCCCTGTCCCCCTGCTTGTGTTCCCTCTCTCGCTGTGTCTCTCTCTGTCAAATAAATAAAATCTAAAAATAAATAAATAAAAATGCTATCTTTTATTTGGCCTATAAGTTTACTTTTATCGCTCCATTAGTGGCTAGGAGGCACACTTGCTCATTAAGGGGTCTCAGACTTTGGTCACTGACCTTTGGCCTCTAGAGCACTGTGCTCTATTAACAGAGTTATAATCAGCACCTCTACCTCCAACCAGAGGTGAGGAAGCTGAATAGCCCAGGAGAGCTACTTTTTTTCCTACCTGCTCTCTGTGGACAAAAAGTCTAGGCAAGATGCACAGTGCCCGGTGGTGCCCTTTAAGCTTAGGCAGGGGCTCCTGCTGGATATGGAAACAAGACATCTATAGGCCCCTCTCAGAAAGCTGAGGACACCTAATTTAATAATAGTTCACGTTTACTGAGCCCTTGGTACTGCTAGGCACTGCATCAAGAGCTTTCCATGTATTATTTAACCCTCAACAAAGCTGTAAGATTGGTATTACTACCATCCCTGTTAAACATGAAGATGTAGATTTAGGGGCTAGCCAGCCTAGCTTTATGGTCACTCAGCTGAGGGACAGAACCAAGTTATAACCTAGCTTTCCTAGGACCAAAACATGAAGTTTTGACCACAGTGCAGGCTGCATCTTGCAGGTAGATATATAAGAAGATTCAAACATGTATTAGGCAACCCCCACATTTAATTTATAATTTATTGTGAAGAAGTGCCAGGATTAGACTTGTTTATTAAATATACTATCTTGTTTTATCTTCTAATCAAGTTTCTTATTTTAATTGCTTAAGCAATATGTGTTTATTACAGATGAGTTCAAGAATAAGAATAAGCAGGGGTGCCTGGGTGGCTCAGTCGTTAAGCGTCTGCCTTCGGCTCAGGTCATGATCCCAGGGTCCTGGGATCAAGCCCCACATCAGGCTCCCTGCTCAGCGGGAAGCCTGCTTCTCCCTCTCCCACTCCTCCTGCTTGTGTTCCCTCTCTCGCTGTCTCCCTCTGTCAAATAAATAAACAAACTTAAAAAAAAAGAATAAGCAAAAACACCCAAAATTCCATTCACCCACAGACAGCCAAAGTGAAGCATTTAGTGTACCTTCTTCCAAATCTGTGGATGTGACTGCAATTCTTAAAATAAGATTTGCCATAACTCAGTTTCCTAACCTGCTTTCCTCACAGTGTGTTGTGACTCTCTATGTCGGGCAGCACATTTCTGCAGCACTGTTTTTAGTGACTGTGTAAGATTCTGAAGTCGGGGCGCCTGGGTGGCTCAGTTGGTTAAGCGACTGCGTTCAGCTCAGGTCATGATCCTGGAGTCCCAGGATCGAGTCCCACATTGGGCTACCGGCTCAGCAGGGAGTCTGCTTCTCCCTCTGAACCTCTCCCCTCTCATGCTCTCTCTCTCTCTCAAGTAAATAAGTAAAATCTTAAAAAAAAAAAAAAAGATTCTGAAATCAGTCCTCCATTGTTGGCAATTGAAATGGTTTCTAATCATTTGCTAGTAGAATGAGCACATTTGTGGTTACTTCATTGGGCTAGGTTCCCGTAGGCAGAAGAGCTGGTTCAAGGGTGTGCTCATATTGAACGTGTATTAGTCTCACCAGCAGACATGAGGTTCAGCTGAGACAAGCCCACCAAGCTGACAGACTTCAAAGCCAAAAGGTGTGAGGCAGGAGCAGGTTCACAGCAGCCCCCTTGGGCAGCACAAACCAGCACACGGAGAGGTCAATGTTCACCACTGTGGTGGTATGAGCTTTGTCACAAACAGCTGACAACAGAATTGCAGTTGTAGCACACAAAGTCCTTGGCTTCAGGAATAAAAAACAGAGACACCAATTCCCACAATTCCTGATCTTGCTAAAATCACAGTAGTCCTAGCACCCAGGAGGCACATTTCCCCCCAACTTTTTGAATAAATTTAAACCTATTAAAAAGTTGAAAGATTAATACAGTGAACTCTACACACCCTTCATTTGATTCAGTAATTGTTAATATTGGTTATGTTTGTTCTCTCTGCGTCTCTCCATACTCCGTCTCTCTCCACATATATGTATGCCTGAACAACTCCGGCTGGAAAACTGGAAATGAGTTGCAGAAACACTCTACCCTTCCGGTATGCATCTCCTAAGAATAAGGATCTTCTCCTATATGTATAGATACAATGCCATTACCACACTTAAGAAAAAAATTCCATAGTATATTAGTTCATGTAGAATGTATGGCTTCACATGTGTTCTTCTGCACATTTTTTTTTTAAAGATTTTATTTATTTATTTGACAGAGACACAGCGAGAGAGGGAACACAAGCAGGGGGAGCGGGAGAGGGAGAAGCAGGCTTCCTGCTGAGCAGGGAGCCTGATGTGGGGCTCGATCCCAGGACCCTGGGATCATGACCTGAGCCGAAGGCAGACGCATAACAACTGAGCCACCCAGGCACACCCTTCTGCACTTTTTCATTGAGATTTTATGAAAAGTGAGTATTTTACATCTGCTTAATATACTGTGAATATCTTTCCAGGTCAGCGAATATAGGTTTTCATAATCCCTTTTAATGCCATGTCTTAGATTGAGTACCCCAGAGGCCAAGCTAAGGTGGGGTTCTTGTTCATATGGTTTACTGAAGGAGCACTCTTAGGAGAAAAGTACAGAGGAAGGCAGAAAGGGCAGAGAGCAAACTAAAAAAGAACGTGCTGGTCTCAGAGCTAGAGATGAACTTCAGTCCACTGACCGTCTCAAGGGCAAGTCACTGTCGGAATCTGCTCCCCACACCTCCCATAACTTCCCCCAGGTAATTCTCCACCTCTCAGAGAAGATAAGGGATAGGTGTGTGCCTGAGGGTCCAGGGGGTCTGGGTGGGACCCAACATTCCCCTACGGGCTGCTAGGTTTCAAATGTTTTGCTATTAGAAACAGTGATGTGAGGAACATCCTCCATGGGGAGCATATGTTTATTTCCCTAAGGAAAGGCGTAGATGTGAAATCAGTTAGATGGTTTGCACTTTAAATTATGTATTTGCCAAATTGCCATGGGAAAATAACACGAATTTGTACTTGACACGAGTGTTTAAGAATACCTTTTTATGCACACCCTAGCTAATGCTGGGTATCATGGCAGTGATCATTTTTTTTAAAAGATTTATTTATTTTTAGAGAGAAAGAGAGAGAGCATGGCGGCAGCAAGGGGTGGGGGGGGAGAGAGAACTGCAAGCAGACTTGAGCCAGGAGCCAGATGAGGCTCGGTCTCAGAACCTGAGATCACAACCCTAGATCAGGACTTGAGCCAAAACCAAGAATCAGACGCTTAAACCAAATGAGCCACCCAGGCTTCCCTATGGCTAAGGTCATTTTAATTTGCATTTCACTGATTAATCTTTTCATATTTTTATACTTAGTTATTGTTTTAATGAGACTATTGGACACATCTGTGGTATTAATGTTGGTGTAGTATCTTTGGTTTCGGGTAAATTTTATATTCCTTTTCAATATGATTAATTCAAATATGCTTAAAAACCTTCATGTATTTTAAAGGGAAAGAGTAAAGTAAGTATAATAATTCAACTATAGGGGTGCCTGGCTGGCCCAGTTGGTAGAGCACACAACTTTTTTTTTTTTAAAGACTTATTTATTTGAGAGAGAGAGAGTGTGGGGGGAGGGGCAGAGAGAGGGAGAGAGAGAGAGAGAGAGAATCTCAAGCAGACTCTGTGCTGAGCGCTGAGCGCTGAGCCCAACGCTGGGCTTGATCTCAAGATCCTGAGATCATGACCTGAGCCAAAACCAAGAGTTGGATGCTCAACCAACCGAGCCACCGAAGCACCACGAGCACACAACTCTTAATCTCAGGGTCATGAGTTCAAGCCGCACCTTGGGCGTGGAGCCTACTTAAAAAAAAAAAAAAAATCAATTATAGAAAAAAAAATCAAACTATAAAAGCAGAATAGGATTCACACAACAAAAACATTGCCAGATATGAGTGACAGTGAAACTGCTCTCCTTCAACATTTACAATAACATACTCCCTGATCATGTACTGGGTTGTGTGAGTCCAAGCACCTGACATATATGGATGTACTCAGTCTTGACAGTCACCAAGAGAAGTTGGTATCATTATCCCCGTTTACAAAAGGAGAACCAGAGATACAGAAGCTCAGAGCCAGAGACCATCCTGGAAGCAGCACATGGAGTGTGAGCCTGCAGTAACAGAGCCTGCCCTCACAACCACCTCCATGCAGCTGGGCCTTCAGGTCCCATCTGTAAAATGGACAAACTAACAGTCCTTGTATAAATTGAGTGCTAGGGGCGCCTTAGTGGCTCAATTGGTTAAGCATCTGCCTTCGGCTTGGGTCATGATCCCAGGGTCCTGAGATCGAACCCCAGGTCAGGCTCCTTGCTCAGTGGGGAGTTTGCTTCTCCCTCTTCCTCTGCCCCTCCCCCTGCTTGTGCTCGCTGTCAAATAAATAAAATCTTCAAAAAAAATAAAATAATTGCATTTTATACTATAAGTGTTTACTATAGTGTCTGTCGCATGGAAAGCACTCAATAATATTAGCTGTTAATATTATTGTAGCAATTTAATGTCCAGAAACTTATCCCAAGGAAATAATTAAGAATGTGGACAAAAATTTAGCTACAGCTGTCACTTCCAATAGCAACAAATGGGGAACATCTTAAATGTCTAACAGTATTGGATTGATTACATTCACTACCCTACATTCACATAATGAAATGATGTACAGCCATTAAAGTTAGGTCAAATATTGAATAAGGTAAAAAGTTTTATTACAAAGTATTAAGTGTAAACACAGATTATAGAGTAACCTGTACTTGCAAACCATATGTTTTAACAAAGATAGATGAATACATGACAGGAAAGACACACAAACATGAGGGTGCTTGTAAGCACATGCTGACAGCAGCTGTGATTGGCTGATCACAAGAGCCAAAAGGTGGAAACAGCCCAGATGTCCACAGACAGATGGACGGGTGAACAAAATGTCCATCCACACAGTGGGAAACTCCTCAACCGCAAGAAGGAGGGAAGCACTGATGGCTACTGAGACATGGGTGAGCCTCAAACACATCGTGCTCAGAGAAAGAAGCCAGACACAAAAAGTCACGTATCATATGAAGTGCCCAGAGTCGTCAAGCTCATGGACATGAAGCAGATCGGAGGTTACCAGGGGCCGGGGAGGTGGAAATGGAGAGTGATCGTCTAACAGGGACAGAGTGTCAGTTTGGGAAGATGAAAAAGTTCTGGAGATGGATGTGGTGATTGTTACACAACATTGTGAATGTATTTAAGGCCATTCAATTGTACACCTAAAAATGGTTAAAATGGTCAATTTTATGTGATTTATATCACATATTCTGCCACGTGCACAGTAGAATCAGAAAAGGAGAATCTTATCGAAAGCAACCACTAGTAGATTAGGAAAAATCCTATAGTCACCACACTATTTAAATAAAGCAAAGCAAACCTGCGGATGGGAAGATGCCAGGACCAGGGGAAGCAGCTCCTGGAGAGCAGTGGCGAGTGGAGGTGCTGGACAGGGACTCGTGTATTTTGTAGTGATGGAACAGGATGCTTCTTCCTTTATGCCTTTGAGTGCGTGAATTCTGGCTAATCTACAACCAAATTTTAGGTATCAACCAATTTGTCATCTTCATTTCACAGATGTGTAAGTTAAACTTTGGGAAGCGCCTTTGATTCAGTGTGGCTGACACCTAGCCCTGTAGATTCCTATGGCGTCAGATGAAATCAGCAATTGGAGACCCCTCCAGGGATGGGCATGGGGTTTCTGCGGTTAAATGCTGGTGGACTGAGAGGTCACCGAGGTAGCAGTGAAGAGGTGGTTCAGAGCCTTCCACTGCCCTGCTAGGGCCCACCACTGTGGCTGGGGAACCCTGGGTATGACATATAAGCCTAATTTGAGAATGCCTATATTAGGCATCTGTATTATGCTATTGAGGCCAGTGGGCAACTGAAGCCCCTGGACAGTAGGAGCCCACAAAGCTGGTACCCGTACCTGTGGTCCAGGCATCGGTGCTTTGGGACCTGCTGCCAGAGGTCAGGGCACCAGGAGGCCTGGCATAGCCATTCCTGACACACCACCCGGGCCAGGTGTCCTTCCTGGTCTCCTGTGCTCTTGGACACCCACTGTTGCATAATCAACAGAGAGTGTGAATGTGTCTACCAGGTGGGCACCCTCACTTCTCTCTCCTCCCAAGCCTGAACCCTCCCCCTCCACCACTCTCCCACCCTCTTTCTCTGTCTGTCTTCTGGAGTCACCTTGCTTAACACACCCATACCCTGCCCGAGGGGAGCAAGGAAGGAAGCTCTTCATCCGGCACACTCCCCGTCCGCACACCTAGGTCAAGTCCTCCATTGCCTTGTTTATTACCACAATTCGGACACCCTAGGGTCCACTCATGCCCCTCGGCCATGGCTGCCTATGGTAAAAGCCAGAGGCAACACTACTGACAAGTTTATCTCCCAACACCAGCTTTGTTAAGAGTTTCAGATACTTTTTGTTTTTCACTCCTGTGGTGGGTTCCGGAAATGCCAAACCTCCCAGACTATGGGCCAGCACTGACCGCACTGGTAGGCCTGTGCCCTGCCTGCAGCAAGTGACTCAGAATGGTGTGGGGCTGAGCACGGTGCTCCAGGGCTTTGGCTAGGACCAGTGCAGTGGGTGGGATGGGGGCTAGAGTCCTGTCCGAGCAGCCCTGCCCTTCCAGGTCCCAGACTGGCACCACTCCTAGAGCTTTTGAGACTGGTCTCCTCCCGGGTGATTCAGACTCACACATATCACCCCTGAGTCAGCTAGCCTTCATAAGGGCTGGGTGGCCCCACGTGTCATCAGAGAAGGCAAGGATCAGAGAAGCTCTTCAGTGTTTAAAGCTGCTGCCCAGCACTGCCCGCAGGCTTCCGCTGTTCCCACCCTGTGCCACCGAGAAGCCCTCACCTGTGCCCCACCAGATCCTGGAAAGCAGTCTCAGCCACCGCCAAGCTCCGGAGAGGTCATTTTTGGAGGTTCTGATCTTTCTCCAGAGAAACAAGACAAAGAGGAAAGGGGCTTAAGAAAATAAATCATTGATATCTGTGGGGAAGATTAAATTTGTTTATTAATTCACGCAAACATTTTCCAACTTGGGGAGAGAGGACAAAGTCAGTAGAAAAAGCCTTCTAAGAAAGGAGCTGGGGTGAATGAGAGATTTTAAGACTTAACCCCTAACCAACTCCAGAAGGAAACATAATAACAATTTATAGAAACATTTTTACCACCTTTGAAAATACAATTTTATCCATAATTTTCAAACTCATTTTCCACTTTCAAGAGAGTTGTAACTCATATTCTTGTCCAGAGTTTAAAGTATCTTGTTTTAAATATTTCCTTGTCCAGACAAATTCCTACTTGCCTCAATAGGGTCTGCGAGCTTACATGAGAGCACACTAATTCTCAATCCACCCCTTGCTCTGTGTGATAAAAAAAACTGTAGGGAGAAAAGAGAGAGACAAGGAGTTAATTTTAAAAAATCGCTATGTATATAAAGTTGAAAACCAGTGACCACAACAGAGAATGCAGTAGAGAACCACAACGAGCTGTTTTGCAGGTGTGAGCATAAATTCTAGTGACAGCTGTAAGACAATGGAGAGGGGTTCACATCGTGAGGAGTTCGGGAGAGAAATTACAGATCTGGCTCCCGATGGTAATTTTGTAAAAATTTATGTTATTGGGGCACCCAGGTGGCTCAGTCAGTTAAGCGGCTGCCTTCAGCTCAGGTCATGATCCCAGGGTCCTGGGATCAAGCCCCACATCGGGCTCCCTGCTCCGTGGGGAGCCTGCTTCTCCCTCTCCCTCTGCCTGCCACTTTGCCTACTTGTGCTCTCTCTTTATCTGTCAAGTAAATAAATTAAAAAAAAAATCTTTAAAAAATATCTGTATTATTTTTCTCATGACATATCTCTTTTGGTAGGAAAGTTGGAGTTTCAAATTCAACACCTACAAAAGAAGGGTTTAAAGTGTGTTCAAGGGGTGCTGGCCTGGCTCCATTGGAAGAGCATGCCACTCTCAATCTCCTGCTCGTGAGTTCGAGCCCCACGTTGGTTGTAGAGATGACTTAAATAAACAAATAAAGAAATAATATGCAAAAATAAAGTGTGTTCAAACTAGCAGCTGTGACAGGCGTTAACCTGTGGTAGTAACCCAAGTCTGTTAGGCTCTGGGGATGTGATGATGCAGTTTGTTAATAATGACGTCCTATTTTTGACATTTAACAAAGCACTTTCACCACTTTTTATTTAACATAGAGTGCTAGGGCATGTCAGCTGGCCATGCTAATTCCAAAGACTAACAGGAGAACAGACTAACATCAGGAAGCACTGTGAAAGGCCGAGGTGGGCAATGAGGATAAGTGGGCGTCTTTCACTGGAGCGCTCCTCCCATGGTCTGGGTGGCCTCATTCTGTAGGGCTCGGCCCCTTTCCTGGCCATGCCTGAGCTATTTTCAACAGCATGTTGTAGAAAACAGATATAATGATGCAAATAGCAGTCCTATTCAGGGAAATCCAAAGGCATCCCGTCTGTGTAAAGATGCAGTCGGCGCTGCCCTGCGGAAGAGGCGGGTTTTGTCACCTACACATAACCCCAGTTCATCACTGCTGACTGTTGGCCTCTGTGTCTACTCTTCCAATTCTTCTTTGAATTCATTTTTTAAGAACCCCTTCCTAGTTTCTTCACTGATTAATGAATTAAATCTTTGACACATTCATTTTATTTTTGTATGAGAGTCATGGTTTTACCATTTTTGGAAATCATTCTTTGACACTAATATCAGACTTACAAGGACTTGTGTTCATATCCCCATGTGTTTTAAAACATTAAAATACTGGGGCACCTGGGTAGCTCAGTTGGTTGAGCGTCAGACTCTTGGTTTCGGCTCAGGTCATGATCTCACGATCCTGGAATCAAGCCTCATGTCGGGCTCCACTCAGCAGAGAGTCGGCTTGAGAGTCTCTCTCTCCCTCAGTTCCTCCCCCCATTCATGCTCTCTCTAATAAATAAATCTTTTAAAAAAGGTATTAAAATACCTTGCTTTGAAATCCCTCCAACTGCACCATTTTAAGTAGCCATTGTTTTTTGTTTGTTTGTTTTTTAAAGATTTTATTTACTTACTTGAGAGAGAGAAAGCAGGAGGAAGAGGCAGAGGGACAGGCAGACTCCCTGCTGAGCTTGATCCCAGGACCCTAGATCATGACCAAGCCGGAGGCAGACACAACCGACTGAGCCACCCAGGCGCCCCTGGTAGCCATTGTTTTGAATTAAAATATGATAAATGGCCCATCTCTATAGCAATACTTTGTTTTTTGTCATATTAGCAGAAATACATGAGTTCTCACTTTTTAAATTACATGTTCTATTTTAACTGATTTAAAATAACTGACATTGTTGGGTGCCTGGGTGCACGGGAAATGGGCACACCTGTTTCTGAGGCTTAGCTGGAGCAGGTGCAGTGTTCCCCAAGACTATTCAGAGTACCCATGAGATCACAACTATTTTCAGATTATACTAAGATGCCATTTGCCTTTCTCACTCTCACTCTTGGGCAGAACACACTGTGGTTTTCTAGAGGCTGTGGGACATGAGATGATATCATTGCTGACTGTTAATGGAATGTGGGCTCCTGGACAGGTTTTAAATTATTCTCAATGTCATGTTCTAGTGCAGTAAATACCGACAGATACAACTCTCTTAAAAGCTTGAAAACTTTTAAGAGTGTAAAGGAGAAAGCATTTGAGACTGATAGGAGACAGCATAGGCTGTAACCCACCTCACCTGTGACCTGGCACAGGTAGCAACATTTCTGGGTCCCACCTTCCGCATTTGCAAAACAAAAGGAGTTTGTCTCACTCCCTCTTTACACCTTTAATACTAAGATTCTATGATCCTCTCACACTGAAGCATTGCTAGTGCTGCTCCAACTAGAGATGCAGGATCAGAGTTCTAGAGGGTCAAAGAGGCTGAGGAGTGGTAGAGTTGGGGTTCAAACCCAGTCTGTCTCTCCCCTGTGTGACTGTGCCACCTGATACTTCTCACTGAAGTGAGAAGCACTGCTACACAGGCGGGATGGGGGTGGGACAGGGGTGGGGGAACCAGCTTTGACTCTACAGCCCAGGGCCCTCCTTGGACTAAACATAACAGATATTGTCTTTGTTGGTCTATTTTTTTTTCCCCAAGATTTTATTTTTAAGTACTCTCTACACCGGATGTGGGGCTCAAACTCACAACCTCGAGATCAAGAGTCACATGCTAACCGAGGGTCGCTGGAGGGGAGGAGGGTGGAGGGATGGGGTAACTGGGTGATGGACATTGGGGAGGGTATGTGTTGTAATGAGCACTGGGTATTATGTAAGACTGATGAATCACAGATCTGTACCCCTGAAACAAATAATATGTTATATGTTGATTGATTTTAAACTTTAAAAATATTTTTTAAAAAAGAGTCACATGCTCTACCGACTGAGTCAACCAGACACCTATGTTGGTCTATTCCTTTGGTGTCATGTGGAATCCTTTATACTATACAAAAAAACAAAACAAAACAAAAAAACCTGATTACTTGCATTGTTTCCACGTTAGCCAAATTCTTCTGCATATTTGGGAAATGGACATTATTAAAAATAACAAATTCCCTAATTTATTAGGTCATACTCTAGGATTTTCTTATTACTTGAATATATAGAACGATATAGTACTGTAAAATACACTAACTTTTAAATAAATTTTGCTTCTTTCCAGAAGAAGTTGCCACTTCAATGCTGTTTTCTGTTCATCCGTCATTGCAAGAAACTCATTTACCTGGTTAAAACAATCAAACAAATATTTCTGAAGTCCATATAAATAATTCATCTTAACAATGTGAAATTTGGCTTTGCGCACTAGAATGGAATTTTATTTATAGTAATTACAGCTCAATTCTCTTAATGGAGGAGATAAGGTCAGAAAGGCTCTGAACTGAATCTCTGAAACCAGTCAGGTGGTTCAGCCCAGAAAACTTCCCTTAACGAACTGAAGACAGAGTAGGGCTGGGGGCTAATAGCAAAGTGCAGGAGCTGGCTTTAACAAGAAAAAATCAAGTGCCCATCAACGCACACACTACTAAGTATCTGCTGCCCTCCTGAAGGAGGAGGGCGCTATGTGTGTTCTGACTCTGTTTGTGGTGACTTCCTTCAGCTGGTTGGTGAAATATCACCACACCCTCCTTCTGCCTTAACCTATCAACATCTCCAATGTGCTGTTCCACCCACTGTTACTCGACTATAGAAAGTGTCTTCTTGGGGCACCTGGGTGACTCAGTCGTTAAGCATCTGCCTTCAGCTCAGGTCATGATCCCAGGGTCCTAGGATCAAGCCCTGCATCAAGCCCCGCATCAGGCTCCCTGTTTCTCCCTCTCCCACTCCCCCTGCTTGTGTTCCCTCTCTCGCTGTGTCTCTCTCTGTCAAATAAATAAATAAAATCTTTAAAAAAAAAAAAAATGCCTTCTTTCTCTCCAGCGGTCAACAGCCTCGGCCGCTGTACCCAACAGCAAAATCAGCTGTGATTTGAATACACAATATGCAATTATTTGTTCATTAAAACAATGCATGTTTAAATCAAGCTTGATTTTTCCCCCAGACCTCTTTATTAATGAATTAATTTCTATCAACTGTTCACTGAAATAACCTATACTTGGGGGGAAGGGAATTCAATTTGGAATTATTTCTAAACACATTTTCCTTTCTGTTATTTACCGTGCAGCCTAAAGTCTCCTCAGCAACCCTTCCTGTAAGACTGCAGGCATGGAGGGTACCTGTGTGGTCAGTGAGGTCAATTAGCAAGTGGAAGCTGAGAAAAACAGATCTAAATTCAAAAGAATCTTTGTTGCAAGCAGTACAAGTGTTGGATGCTTCCTTTACAACGTAACCACAGCCAGAGCTGAAAAGAAACAAAGACAAGGATAAAATGTGAAGGCCATAAATGACCAACCTGATCTCTAGCAGAACCCTGCTCCCTTAAAAGTCTAAATCAGAGTAACTTCAGAGTGCTCAGTGCAGTGCAGGATGCCAGACAGACATATGAAATGAGGAACAACACAACATGCAATTAATCCCATTTACACCACCCTGCCTCCTACCCTACCCCTGCTAGGGCTCCTTTCCTTCACCCCTTCCTGGCTCCCAACAGCCACAGAACTGATGCCTCAGCCCCACCTCTGCCCTGTCCCGTCCTATTCCTCGCTACTGCGGGTATGTCCACCTAGTCTCCCCGGCTCAGGATTCCAAGGGAGGAGTCCTGTCGTGTGCCTAGAAAGCCTGAGGTCCATGAATGCTCGCTTGATGCTTCTGTGCTAGGCCTCGGCACATCGACAGAAGAATCCTAGGGTTGGTCAGGTTCACACCCAAAATGCTCTTAGTACTGCTAGTGACACACACTTCTCCCTCTAAGGGGTGATTACATGCTATTCCATATTTTGAGGCAGGTCTTACATTAGCCAATTTGGACAGAAAGACTAACTTAAATTTCTCAAGTAGAGGGTGTGATCTGAAATAGTGCTTTCCTGTCTGGGCACAGATCACCTTTAAGGTAAATTTCAGATGCTTTTCCTCAGATATCAATATTAAAGATATAGGAAAAAATTAGGGAGACAATAAAATTTTCCAAAAGTTTTTGAAAAATGTTTTTCAAAAAGTAAACACTTGACTTACACAGCAGCCTCCACATTGTTTTCAATTTTAATACCAAATCATAAAATGTTTTCAAAATCTATATGTCAGCATCTTGACTATGGTGGTAGATACACAAACCTGCATATGTGATAAAACCATATAGAACTTCACACACACACACACACACGACTGCATGTCAATGTGGTGAAATTTCAATAAAATCACCAAATTGAAATAATGTCAGTATCCTGGCTATGATGTAATACTGTAGTTTCATAAAATGTTACCATTGGGAGAAAGTGGATAAAGTGTATGTGGGTTCTCTCTGTATTTTTTTTTTTTTAAGATTTTTATTTATTTATTTGAGCAAGAGACAGAGCCAGAGAGCACAAGCCGGGGGAATGGCAGAGGGAGAGGGAGAAGCAGGCTCCTTGAGCCTGACATCAGGCTCAATCCCAGGACCCCAGGATCATGACTGGGGCAAAGGCAGAGGCCCAACTGACTGAGCCACCCAGGTGCCCCTCTCTTTATTATTTTTTACAACTCCATGTGAATCTAGAACTATCTCAATAAATTTTCTTTTCTTTTTTTTTTAAGTAGGCTCCATGCCCAACACAGAGCCCAACGTGGGGCTTGAACTCAGAACCCTGAGGTTAAGACCTGAATTCAAGAGTCAGACACTTAACTGACTGAGCCACCCATGCACCCCTCAGTAAAAAATTTTTTTTAAAGATTTTATTTATTTATTCATGAGAGACAGAGAGAGAGAGAGAGAGAGAGAGTGAGAGGCAGAGGGAGAAGCAGGCTCCCAAAGAGCAGGGAGCCCAATGTGGGACTTGATCCCAGGACCCTGGGATCATGACCTGAGCCAAAGGCAGACGCTCAACCATCTGAGCCACCCAGGCACCCAAAATTTTCAATTACAAAAATTCATAGACTTTCACAGTAACATTTTAGATGTTTCTTGTCAAGCATCTTTCAGCTAATATTATTAAATCCCTGGGGTTTCCTTTATAAGAAAGTAGATACTAACTTTGACCTAGGAGAGGCTGTAAATCATATTCACCATGAGGCTATAAATAATTTTTTTTAAATGCTGTCCCTTGCATTGCTATAGGACATGGCAACCAAAATAATATTCTAATATAAAACAACAGTTTGTCACCTCAGTAAAGTTTCTGGCAGCAGGGGCACCTGGGTGGCTCAGTCGGTGAAGCACCTGCCTTCAGCTCAGGTCATGATTCCAGGGTCCTGGGATAGAGCCCCACATCGGGCTCCCTGCTCAGTGGGGAGTCTGCTTCTCCCTCTGCCCCTCCCCCCTGTTCATGCTCTCTTTCTCTCAAATAAATAAATAAAATCTTTAAAAAGTTTCTGGCAGAATTCTGTCTTTATATTTTAGGATTGCAGAAACACAGCAAATCAAATTTTACTTTAAAAGGTAATTATAACCTTTGAATCTACATAGTGTGCCTTGGAAACTGCAGTAGGGGTTATTTATTTATACATTTCTTTTTTTTTTTTTAAGATTTTATTTATTTATTTATTTGAGAGAGAGAGAATGAGAGAGAGAGAGCACGAGAGGGGGAGGGTCCTGAGCAGGGAGCCCGATGCGGGACTCGATCCTGGGACTCCAGGATCATGACCTGAGCCGAAGGCAGTCGCTTAACCAACTGAGCCACTCGGGCGCCCTATGCATTTCTTTAAAATACATAACAACTATTATGTCAAAGAATAGCTTTAATAGAGCTTAAAATATATTAACAATAGTTGGTCTTTATTTCTTACAAGAATGAATTTGCTGACAATACAGGCTGCTTACCATCGGTGTCGAACTACTGTTGTACTGTCATCATCAATGTTCAGTGTAGAAATGTAAGCATAAAGAATGCCGTAGAAAGGATCAGCCTTCCCTTCGTTCTTTGAAGCTCTTACCTTTAATTGCTCAACTGTATAGACATCAACTATTGTATTTACTAAAAATAAAAAGTAGTTATTACAGCTCTCTATTTATTCTAAGAATGCCAAAGGATTATATCCAAATAGAAAAAGCTATAAAGTTCAAATGAGAACATGTAATAGCTTCAGTTGAGTAACAGAAAAATTATTACATTTACTATATTGAAACTGATTATGTAAATGGACATAACAGCAAAAATAAGCAAAAAAAGGAAAAGAACAAGAAATTTAATTCCTTTTATGTCAATGAAGACTTTGTGGTCATCGGAAGATGCCATTAAAAGGATGGGAAGGCAACCCTCAGCATGGGAGATGCTAGCAATCTTTAAAGGAGACAAAGGACTAATATCCAGAATATATAAATAATTCTTAAAAATTAATAAGAGGGGTGCCTGGGTGGCTCAGTCATTAAGCGTCTGTCTTCCGCAGTCAGCTCAATTTTTTTAACTTCCATCAGATTGGCAAAAGGTTACAGAAGCCTCTAAAAGTTTAAAGATTATTTGTTTATTTATTTATTCCAGAGAGAGTGAGAGTGTGTGGGGGCAGAGGGAGCAGAGAGAAAGGGAGAGGCAGAGAATCCTAAGCAGACTCCACACTGAGTGCAGAGCCCCACATGGGGCCTGATCCCACAACCCCAAGATCACGACCCAAGCCAAAACCAAGAGTCAACACCCAACTGACTGAGCCACCCAGGTGACCCAAAACCTCTAAAAGTTTTAAACAACCTTTTAAAAAGTGTAAATATAGCAGTTACAGGATAAGAATATGGTATCTTTTACTATGTAAAACAAAAATAATATTTAAAGGTCACTTACAATTTATAGATTCTTTCAAATAACTGTCAATCTCATCATCCAGAGGATTTGTTTCTTTATTTTCTCTTATAAAATTCAATAGGATGTTAGCTTCTGGGGTATCTTAAATAAAAGATGCATAATAAGTGAAAAGCAACTGATAACTTTTTATTTTTTTTAAAGATTTCTTTGAGAGAGAGTACACAGGTAAGCAGGGGGGAGGGGCAGAGGGAGAGGGAGAGGAAATCCCAAGCAGATTCCCGCTAAGTGCAGAGCCCAACATGGGGTTCCATCCGAGGACCCTGAGATCATGACCTGAGCTGAAATCAAGAGTCAGCTGCTCAACTGACTAAACCACCCAGCCACCCCAAGATTGATTTTATTTATTTACTTACTTACTTACGTAGAGAATCTCAAGCAGACTCCGTGCTGAGCATGGAGCCAGAGGCGGGGCTTGGTCTCATGACCCTAAGATCAAGACCTGGGCTGAAATCAAGAGTCAGACACTTAACCGACTGAGCCAGCCAGGTGACCCTGATTACTTTTTAAATAGCTGTGAATGATCCAATATTATTTTTAATGGTAAAAGTGAAGACATATATAAACATAGTCAAATAGACTACTATGCAGCCAATTAGCCATGTGACGTGGCAGTCTACTAAATGAAGGGACATACACCAGATATTGTTAAAGAGCAGCTTATAGAACGACCTGGTGCAATTTCCTCTCAATTAAAAAAAACATATATATACATAGGTATGCAAAATTATCTGGAAGAGTATATACCAAAGAAATGATTCTCTTATAAGATGGTGAGATTATAGGTGCTCGTTGTTTTCCTTTTGCTATTATGTATTTTCTGAATGTTATATGTATTTCTTTTCTAAGCAGGAAAAAAAATTTAAGTGTATTTGAAAGCCTTGCTGCTTGACTTGGGACACAAGTATTCTCAGGAATAGTCAGATGGTGTGCCCAAAGGCAAGAATGTGATTTTGAAAAAGGGCTCCCATGTGACTCTGACACTCTTCAACCTCAAGCCCCCCAGCCTCCAACACTTGATGGCCTTTCGGTCTTCCCTCACCCACTCTGACATTCTGCAAACGTGCTGGTGCTTTTACCCCTGCCCCCTGACCCCTGGGGCAGAGGCAGGGGCTTCTTCCTCTCTCCCATCCAACCCTGCGTCTAACCACTGTTCTTTCACATAACTAGACTGAAGCCCCTTGTGAGCAAGGGTCTGCCTCTTTAGCTCTGTAGTTCCAGTACCTAATATAGCAACTGTCCTACTCATCTGGCCATCTACCTATCGAGTGCTGCCTTGTTCTCGAAAGGACTTATGTTATCTCAGTACTTGGCAAATAAAAGGCATTTGAGAGTTATTTGTAACTTAATGAGTGAATGAGTGGATGTTTTTGAAACACTGACAGAAGTGCTGCAAACCAGACAGGAGCGGGTGCTGGAGTGAGGCTGTGGAAATCAAACCCCCGGGGCTTCCTGCAGGCACTGCTGTAAAGATCCCTCCTGTCGACAAGGTTATCTGGAACTGTCTGATGGACACTCTTCGGGGCAGAGAAAGCCATAAGGAAAGCTAGGATGAAAGCTTAAGCCTTTGGAGGTTTTAGTTTGTACTTGGTGGGTGTAGCCCAGGAAGTTACAAACAAGGCTGATTTAAAGAAGCACATTAAAATTCACACATGCTTGTAAGTACTCTCTTTGTCTCTGAGAAACAGGCATTTATTCTAATGCTGTTGGCATTTCCCCTTTCAGGCTGTGTTCAGGAACCAAACAGATAACATTCACTGAATATGTGTTTCATTAACTTAGCCTTGAGTTATTTTTTTAAAATATTTTATTTATTTATTTATTTGAGAGAGAGAGAATGAGAGAGAGAGAGAGCACCTGAGAGGGGGTAGGGTCAGAGGGAGAAGCAGACTCCCCACCGAGCAGGGAACCCAATGCGGGACTCCATCCAGGGACTCCAGGATCATGACCTGAGCCAAAGGCAGTCACTCAACCAACTGAGCGACCCAGGCACCCAGCCTTGAGTTATTGATAAAATTGTCCTATCAAGCTTGATAACCTTTTCCAACAGACAAATCCAATTGTCTTTAGAAATTTTCCCAGGCCTGGGGCACCTGGGTGGCTCAGTTGTTAAGCGTCTGCCTTGGGCTCAGGTCATGATCCCAGGGTCCTGGGATCGAGCCCCACATCGGGCTCCCTGCTCAGCAGGAAGCCTGCTTCTCCCCCTCCCTCTCCCCCTGCTTGTGTTCCCTCTTGCTGTGTCTCTCTGTCAAATAAATAAAATCTTAAAAACAAAGCTGTTAATATTAAGTTATTAAAAATAATAAACCATAGTACACCCCTCAAAAAAAAAAAGGAATTGAAGAGTGGCACTCTTGTCCCAATGTTGAGAATAGATTGTGGTTGCGTCACCATCAATTTACAGCAAAGCAGCTAGAGTGATCCTTTCAGTACTTAGAAAATGTCTCTGCTCTGTTCCAAACCCTTTGCTACAGAGTAAAAGCCAACATTCTTTCATTAGCCTATAAGGCCTTCTTGACACCAACTCTTCTCCTCTGACCTTGACTCCTCCTCCTGCCTGTGCTCCATGAGCTCCAGCCACACTGGTCTCCTTGCTTTTCTGCCCTCACACAGGCACATGCCAATCTCTGGGCCTTTGCACTGGCTGTTCCAGTATTAAGGGCCTGGTGCTTTTTCCTGGGTTAACCCGCCACGGCCTCATCATGTCTTTGCTCAAATGTCACCTTCCCAAGGAGGCCTACCTGACTACCCTCTGTAAAGTGCAACCTGCCCTATACACCATGTCACCCTGGACTCTCCTGACCCTGTTCCTCTTCTTCTTCTTCAATATTTCATAATTCACAAATGTGTTATCTTTATCGTTTATCATCTGTGTCTCTCCTGCTAGAATGTGAGCTTCATGTGGGCAGAGAAATTTGTGTTTTGTCACTGGCCCCCAGGACAATGCCCTGCACACAGCATGTGCATGTCACATCACCTTCCATGATGCCACTTTCAGGGACATGGTGTTCGGTGGATGCACAAGGTCTAGTGCACTTATGTGGCACAGAGTCTTGTCCTTTTATGTCATATCTCATAGCAATACTACTTTAAAAAATTCTCATAATGGTTTGGCCAAAGACATAAAATTGCTTTGTAATTCTCAGTCACTGTAGGGGCACCTGGCTAGCTCAGTCAGTGAAGCGTCTGCCTTCGGCTCAGGTCATGATCTCGGGGTCCTGGGATCGAATCCCATGTCGGGCTCCTTGCTCAGCAGGGAGCCTGCTTCTCCCTCTCCCTCTGCCCCTCTCCCCTGCTCGTGCTCATTTGCTCGCTCTCTCTGTCAAATAAATAAAATCTTTAAAAAAAATAGAAATAAAAATCCGTCACTGTTGATGCTTTGTTAGAGACCAGCAGAGGGAGCTATTGTCAGAAATGACCCACTATTACAGTTCCATCTTCCTGAGGTTGGGAAGGACCATGGGAATTCTGCATTCTTCCACGGTGCTGGACTCATCTCTCTATCTGCAGTACAGAGGACTGTGAGGATATTTAAGGTCACCGATCCCTCACGTCTCCCCAGACCCTGTTCCCCAGACTGCATGTTGGAATAAGCTATAATTCCTTTCAATAACCACTCTGGTGGGCCTTCTGGGCATTTTGTTATGACATGAACTAATGATGTAACATGTATGTTCTCCATGTTCCAGTACTAAGTTATTTGAATATAGTAAAACTGTATTTATTTTTAAAATAGTCAATAATTGGGCACCTGGGTGGCTCAGTCATTAAGCGTCTGTCTTCCG